ACACACACACACACACCACACATAGGACCAGGAAAACAAGGAGATTAGTAGAAGAGCCAGAAACGAGTATGCACAGATAAGGAGGGAGGCCCAGCGACAGTATGAAAACGACATAGCATCGAAAGTCAAATCTGACCCGAAACTGCTGTATAGCCACATTAGGAGGAAGACAACAGTCAAGGACCAGGTGATAAGGCTGAGGAAAGAAGGTGGATGAACTCACAAGAAACGATCAAGAGGTATGTGAGGAGCTCAAACACGAGATTTAAGGAAGTATTTACAGTAGAGACAGGAAGGGACTCTGGGGGACAGACCAGATGGGGGACACCAGCAAGGAATACACCAACAAGTGTTGGACGACATACATACAGATGAGGAGGAGGTGAAGAAACTGCTAAGGGACATCGATACCTCAAAGGCAATGGGACCGGACAACATCTCCCCGTGGGTCCTTAGAGAGGGAGCAGATATGTTGTGCGTGCCACTTGCCACAATCTTCAACACATCCCTGGAAACTGGGCAACTACCTGAGGTATGGAAGACGGCAAATGTAGTTCCCATTTTTAAAAAAGGAGACAGAAAAGAGGCACTAAACTATAGACCTGTGTCATTGACGTGTATAGTATGCAAAATTATGGAGAAGATTGTCAGGAGGAGAGTGGTGGAGCACCTGGAACGGAAGAGGAGTATAAATGCCAACCAGCACGGATTCACGGAAGGCAAATCCTGTGTCACAAACCTTCTGGAGTTTTATGATAAAATAACAGAAGTAAGACAAGAGAGAGAGGGGTGGGTTGATTGCATCTTCTTGGACTGCAAGAAGGCCTTTGACACAGTTCCTCACAAGAGATTAGTGCAGAAGCTAGAGCATCAGGCGCATATAACAGGAAGGGCACTGCAATGGATCAGAGAATACCTGACAGGGAGGCAACAACGAGTCATGGTACGTAATGATGTATCACAGTGGGCACCTGTGACGAGCGGGGTCCCACAGGGGTCGGTCCTAGGACCAGTGCTATTTTTGGTATATGTGAACGACATGACGGAAGGTTAGATTCAGAAGTGTCCCTGTTTGCAGATGATGTGAAGTTAATGAGGAGAATTAAATCTGATGAAGACCAGGCAGGACTTCAAAGAGACCTGGACAGACTGGACACCTGGTCCAGCAAATGGCTTCTCGAATTTAATCCTGCCAAATGCAAAGTCATGAAGATAGGGGAAGGGCACAGAAGACCACAGACAGAGTATAGGCTAGGTGGCCAAAGACTGCAAACCTCACTCAAGGAGAAAGATCTTGGGGTGAGTATAACACCGAGCATGTCTCCGGAAGCACACATCAATCAGATAACTGCTGCAGCATATGGGCGCCTGGCAAACCTGAGAACAGCATTCCGATACCTTAGTAAGGAATCATTCAAGACACTGTACACCGTGTATGTCAGGCCCATACTGGAGTATGCAGCACCTGTTTGGAACCCGCACTTGATAAAGCACGTCAAGAAACTAGAGAAAGTACAAAGGTTTGCGACAAGGTTAGTTCCAGAGCTAAGGGGAATGTCCTATGAAGAAAGATTAAGGAAATCGGCCTGACGACACTGGAGGACAGGAGGGTCAGGGGAGACATGATAACGACATATAAAATACTGCGTGGAATAGACAAGGTGGACAAAGACAGGATGTTCCAGGGAGGGGACACAGAAACAAGAGGCCACAATTGGAAGTTGAAGACACAAATGAGTCAGAGAGATAGTAGGAAGTATTTCTTCAGTCATAGAGTTGTAAGGCAGTGGAATAGCCTAGAAAATGACGTAGTGGAGGCAGGAACCATACACAGTTTTAAGACGAGGTTTGATAAAGCTCATGGAGCGGGGAGAGAGAGGGCCTAGTAGCAACCGGTGAAGAGGCGGGGCCAGGAGCTAGGACTCGACCCCTGCAACCACAAACAAATAGGTGAGTACACACACACACATACACACACACATACACAAACTCATACACACACACGCACACACACTCATACACACACACACACACACACTCATACACACACACACACACTTATACTCACACACACACACACAACACACACACACACACACACACACACACACACACACTCACACACTCATACACATACACACAAACACACACACACACACACACACACACACACACACACACACACACACACACACACACACACACACACACACACACACACACACACACACACACACACACATGTGGTAATGCTTTATTTACAGCTAGCAAAGTCAGGGTATTTCTCCAGAATGGTCTGTAATATACCATGTGGATAAAAAACTTAGCCATTTCTTGAACACTTCTGAGTGAGTTGTTTCTAAATTCATTAATTTTATCGCACTCCAGTACATAATGACGCAGGGTTGTGACAATAATCCATCTGCAAAGTTTACATTTCGTTTGGTCTACATATGGTGGTGGTGATTTAACCTGCCAAAGATACTTGTAACCCAGCCGGAGCCGGGCGGTAGTGACATCCAAGAGTCTGCTTATTTTGTTGATGCACCATAGGCATGTGGCTCCTCCTGCATGATAGAATGATGATAGATGGACTCACTGGTGTCAGTCTCCCTGAGCCTTAAGTCCATAAAATTCAGCTGAAGTTCTTTTCGTATTATTGTTCTCAAACTACTACCTGACAAGCCAAGATTGTAATCTACTCCCTCTTTGAAAGCATACAGCTTAGCCAATTTATCAGTTCTATCATGCATCTGAAGACCAATGTGAGATGGAATCCACAGCATGTGCCCTCTGACTCCACTGTCCACAATCCTACCATACCTGTGTCTGGCTTCTGACACAAGCATGCCACAATTTATGCTTAATGAGTTGAGAGCATTTATGGATGACAGAGAATCAGTTACAATTAAACTGTCAATCTTTGATACATAGATGCATTTCAGTGCAAGGAGTATGGCAAACAGTTCTGTCTGAAGGGTAGAGGCCCAATTATTGATGCGTTGCTCAATTTCTTTAGAGAGCCATCACTCTGTACGACAACAGCAGCACTACCAGCTGCACCAGTGGATTGGTGAACAGAACCATCAACGTAAATAATTTGCGAGAGTGTGTGCTGTGTGACTAAGTTATCAATACAGCTTAAGGCCTTATGTTTGGCTTCAAGGCGAAGTTTTGGTTGTGATTTAAGAAGTAGTTTGGGGGGAAATGGAGGAATGGTAGTTTGGAATGGGGTAATATTCCATGGAGCGGAGAAGTGCCGCTGTTGCCTTACTTGACATAGATCATGTATCTGATTCATGCGGAGGTCGGTTCCAGTCTTTTCGATCCATCTGGAGGAGTGTTCACCAGTGCTGAGGAAAGTTTGGAGGGCTTCTGGACCTGGTAGTGATAATGTCAGAGGATCTCACCTTCAAAGACCACAACAATGTATCTACCGCATCTGCTTGGAAAATGATAGGATGAGAACTTTCAAAACTAGGGATGCCAAGCCCATAATGATTCTCTTCAAATAGTTTGTTCTGTCTAGGCTGGATTACTGCTGTACACTAAGGCAGGCAAAATTGCTAACCTGGAGAGTGCACATATTAGTACGGTAAGGTACCTAAATTACTGGGAACGGTTGAAGCCCCTTGGTTCGTATTCCCTGGAACGCAGGCGAGAGAGAGACATGAAAATCCTAGAGGGATTAATACCAACCTTGCACACAAAAATCACTCCTTATGAAAGCAAAAGACTCGGCAAGAGATGCAACATTTAACCAATGAAAAGCAGGGGTGCCAGGTGCACACTGAGAGACAACACAGTAAGTATCAGGGGCCCGAGACTGCTCAACTGCCTCCCAGCATACATAAGGGGGATTACCAATAGACCCCTGGCTGTCTCCAAGAAGGCACTGGACAGGCACCTAAAGTCAGTACCTGACCAGCCGGGCTATGGTTCGTAGGTCAGTTTGCTTGCGGCCAACAGTAACAGCCTGGTTGATCAGGCTCTGATCCTCTACGAGGCCTGGTCTCAGACCGAGCCGCGGGGGTGTTGACCTCCGAAACCCTCTCCAGGTATCTAACACCAACAAATGTATAAAAGAATCATGTTAGCAACATTAGGTAACTTTATTATGGAAACCTTGACTCACGAAATCGTAATGACACGACTGCAAATAAACCATACCACGGGCGGGGATAGAACCCGAGATCGCGGGTTCTATCCCACCCGTGGTATCAATCCAGTAAATAAATCCTTTCACTGATAAAGCCCCAGGTTTGTGAAATGGCTCCAGTGGGGGGCGGTGGAAGGTATTAAGGCTCAGTTCAGAGAGCCGTAGCACAGATCCAATTCCCTAGATCAAGAGCCCCTCACCAGCGTCAAGGAACTTCCCTCGAGGGGTTTATAGAGGACAATGTCTCGTGACACTATCATGAGACATTGTCGAGTCACAGCTACACAAGCTGTGACTCGACCCCCATCCACCATGTATAGGTGAGTACTGATCTTTGTCAGATGATGATCTTCTTACTGGCTCCACCCCCCCCCTCCCAAATCACATACCTCCAGCTACCTTTTACACTCCATTTAAAAAACGAAGGATCACTAAGTGATAATGTTTGGAGATATTTATGTGAAAAGAAGTCCAGAGAAGTGCGAGTACAATGCCGTCCAAATGTTATTTAACAAGCGCATTAAAAGTCTTCAAAACAGAACTGACTCCTGAAGTCAGTGTCCAGACGAGTTACTCTGGACACGGACAAGACTTCTAACATGGCCTAGTGTTTGAGCTAACACTATGACATGCTAGAAAATGTTTCGGTCCATGGAACTTGATCACTTCTAACACAGAGATTAAAATGACAGTATAAACGTCTTAGTGTGTGCTCATGTGTCTTTTTAAACCAGTATTATTGTATGTATCAGTTACCAAGGTTTGTACCACACTGTCAAGACTAAGTCATTCAAAAGCACAGGGAAAGGATAAATAAACAGAAAAAAAAAATCATATTTACCAGCCATGAAACAAGGTAATCCTTCTCTGATGGTTTCACACTCCATGACCTGTAAGTCAGCTGGGAGAAGGTCATTCTCTTGTACTCTGAGCAGACCACCACGAAAAGCTCTTAACTGCTGCTCCTCCGAGACACTAGACCCGTAGATGTTAGATGCGTCCAAAACGTGTGTAAGCTGGTTCATCTGTCAGATGGAGGTGTTGTTAGTGTGGTGAAATGTTGGGAATGCTAGTGAGAGAGGGTGACTATTGGAGAGTAAGTGCAAATAACGTCAGGCTCCGTCTTGCTTACCTGCTCTGCATAGCCTAGATTACACGGAGTGTTGCGGGGAGCCAGCAAAGACCTGACGAAGTTCATGCAGCGGCGTCCGGTCCCACCGAAGAAGGGGTCATTGGCGGGCACCTCGATGGGGAAGCAAGCGGGATGGCGGAAGGCAGAGTCAACGAAGTCACGGTCGTTGTTCGAGCAACACTGAATACCACTGTCGTTACCTGACCAACCCAGAGAAGCCCTGGTCAAGTTTACTTTATTTAACAGACACACACGGTTCAGGAAGCTTAGTTCACACAGTCAGGGATATTCTTCAGTTGTGTTACTGTAAATAAGTTATAACCACAGGTCGTGTGGGGATATAACTCATCGTAAGTAAGTTCTAAAACTCGCTGACCAGTGCGTTTACCACTGGTTCATGCTGGCCTAGCATTTATTATTATTATTCTTAGCTTATCCCGTAGGGGTCACATAGCACCTAGAGGCCTAAAAAGATTCATTCATTTAGATATATTTCTTTACACCATAGGAATGTTAGCATGAGCCCCACCGTGACTTGATGACTGTAAGATTGTGCTACCATTACAGCATTTATTAATCAACAATCATTTCTACCAGAAAACACGCAGACTTTATTTCGACAATTTCTGTCATGGTTGCCTCACTCTGCACTCTTATCCGGAAGTTCCACCTTCATTGCTAACTCTTAGTAAGAGTGCGTAATGATTCTCATTACACACTCTTACTAAGATTCCAATCCTCACCTAAGAGTGAAGTGTTTCACACGGGTTTAACGCTACTTCTTAATACTTACTGAGCCTGTTGATGGGAGTGTGGGTGAGATCATGGTCGATAAACTGACCCATCTGCATAATGGAGAGGGTAAACTCTAAGTTGGGTCTGTCCATGTCGGTACTGATACTGGTGGACACAAGTCGTGCAGAGGGAAGATTAGCACCGGTACGGCTCATTCTGGGCCGCGACAGACCTGCAAGCAGAGAAGTAATTTTTAGCAAATATTAGTAATACGTATTTAAATAAATGGCTCAGGGAAGTGACAGGATGATGAATTAGACACTTCTGCAAAACTCGGATACCTTACATTGTGGAAACGTTTCTCCAACCAGTGGCTTCCTCAATCCAGTACAAAGAAGAATGGATGAAGATCAGGAGTTTGAGGTGTCAATTCCTCATCCTTGGAGTTTGTGAAGAGCACCGTAGTCTGTAAAGATTTTAAACGACTACGGGCTCTTCACCAACTCCAAGACTGAGAGACTGATTACCTCATCCTTTTTATATAGTTCAACTATCTTCCAATTTTGTCCTGGAACATACGTCTTATTCTTCATCTTGTCGGTATTGTGTACTATACATGTACAACACTCACCATCACTGTATTGTGGAGGAAGTAGCCTCTGGAAAGTTGTCCTGGCCTGGCCCAGTATGGGATTCTCCAAGTTGTTGCAGGCGCCATCAATTCTGCGGTAATAGATGTCTCTCTTCTGGCACACGGGATTCATCTGGCAAGTGTTGGCGAAATTGGTGTTGGCTACGCTGATCTGTTGCAGACCAAATCCTGCCTGCAGGGAACTCAGACGGAAGCTGTAGGCAAGAGATAAAATGTTAGACGAGGATATGGCCTTTTACTTGCTAAAGTTCACAGACAGACTTTCTGCAGGTACATTGCTGCCTTTAATTTTACGTTAGTAAGTGCGTAAGTAACAACTGTCCAATCTTCATCAGTTAACTGACTGATAAGCACTGGCGTAAACATGAGAGTTCTCCAACGCCTCACACTGTATCAACAAGAATTAAAAATCACTCGTAAAGGAAACTCACTTGTTCATGAGTTGTTGTGAAGCATGGACATGAGCCAGAGCAGCGCTGTTAAGATCAAGAGCGAGGGAAGATGTCCTGAAGAACTGGAGATGGTGGTAAGCTGGGTCACGAACATTTGTTACCTCGATGTCTCGCCTTTGTAATTCCTGTAACAAGAGAATATATTGTGTGTGCTTGGTCTACCTGCAACATGACCTCACTGTATGTAGTATATACCAGCTGCCTACCTGCAGCATGACCTCACTGTATGTAGTATATACCAGCTGCCTAAACCATTCTGTGATCAACACATGTAATATCTGCAGCCAGCTTCTTGATGGACTCACCTCTGATATCATTAGGCGTGTTCCAAACTTTTTTTTTTAATAAATAAACTGCAATATCCTCCTTAATGTAATAATGTAACTCTCCATTAAATTGAAAAATCTTTATATTATTGTCAATATTTCAAATTTTGTCCTTTAGGGTTTAGTAACAACTTTACAAATGTTAAAATTATACATTAATGAACGTTCAGGCAATGTTGCCTTATAAAGTATATGTAAAAATAAATGTTGTATGTGAAATTAATACAACATGCAAGGTCAGTCTTGTTTGCTCACCTCTGAATGAATTTGTTAATTTGTCAGATAAACTGGCACTTATGGACGCTGCAGGGCAAAATGTGTAACTCTTTTGTTTACCGTCCGATTTTCTCCAGTTTTGGTGCACAAGACAAAGTGTTTTCACTCTTTCTTGAAAATATTTATAAAAAATATACCTCAAACAACAACTGAGAAAAGATGATTTACTAAAAATCCCCTTTGGGCCACATTGTCCCACATTCATTCTTATAGGGGACTACGTAAGGTTGTCTAGACATTTGGGTGCCGAGGAGAAGAGAACCAATGCTAATTACTAATTTTCATCGTTAGCTTTCTCTAAATAACTTATCCTAATTTCACAAAAAAAATAAAGTTTGTAAGTTCCTGGAATATTGCAAAAATATCTGCCCTTTATCCCATAACTCCAAAAGTATTTGGAATAATTCCAAAAAATTCTTGGGGAAATTAGAGAAAATCATTATTCTACTAATTTCTGTGAATATTTATTCCATTTATTAAGTAATAAAGGTATGAATTATGGATTTAGGTTAAATAAGTTTCTTGCGAGATATCGGCCGGAGCGCGGCCCGGCCCGTCTTCAAAAAAAAAAAAAAAAAAATTCGCGAAAATCGCGTTTTGATTTGGTGTTAATTTTAGTAAGATGTTCTAGTGTAGTTTTCTCTTCAAAATACTGTTTTCTTTAATAGAGACAAAAGAATTACGACATTGGAGAGGAGTAAAGTAGCTCAATAATATCGAAATATTCCAGATAATCTATTCGCCTATTATTGGCTATTTTATTCAGTCTAGGTATAAACATGTTTGGTATGTTTTTATAGTGTTTATTATATCTTTTTAGATCAATTTGATAGACAAATAAGCGTTAGAGTTGATATATAAGCTTAATAATGAGTGATTTCTCTGGCACTCTCTGGGAGCGGGAACACTGCCGGAGCGTTCCCAGATGTTTCGGTTGTCTCTAAGTCTACGAGATAAGCTCGCCTATCTTATATGATGCCAATAGGTCAGTAAGTAGAAGGTAAGTAAAGTTTTTCAGGTAGACCAAATACAGTTACATTAGGATTATCATACATAGCAGCATATGTGTTTAAGAGAACTAGGATAACCCAAAAAGGTCAGGACCGAGAGACTTATTTCCTTGGGGGGTCCTTTTACCTTATTATTATAGTATAATGGTTCTAATACTTTCTTATTATTCTACAATGAAGATAACAGCTTATTATTCATACAAAAAGACTATCTGCTACTCCAAGGTCATTAAAGACTATCTACACTCGAGGAATAGTAAAATTTACACGTATGGTAGCTAAAAAATAGAAAATTCTTCCCCTCCCTTTCTGTAAGCTACATCATTCAGACAACTTTTGGCACTTTCTTGAACTGGGTTCACGCTAGACTGGCTTTGACATGTGGGGTAGGTAGTCTGTTCCATTCCTTTATTGATGTACATAAAAGGTGTTTGAAGCTGGCCACTGATGTCGGTTATCAAAGTTGTGCTCTCTCCCCTAGTATAGATGCTTTTGGTTCCAAACATTGACAACCATTGACAGGCACGATATTCTGACATTGTTTGTGAGCAATTTTATAAACATGTTTAGCTCTCAGTTTTTTTACTATGTCTTCATCATTCAGCATATAAACTGCTGTAATTCATCATGGCCTTACATGTTCTCTGGTCAGCCCCAGGGCTGAATCTTTCGATTTTGTTCTCGGGTGTTTAGCAGTCTATCTTTCAGTTTTTTTGTCAAGGGAGAGTACAGAAGCGCAAGCGGTAAATCCATATTGCATTGTTATAAGGGCTAACTGGTTCCTATCAATTCTCGCTGACATGCAGGGGCTCAAAGGGGATTCCAAATCTTTTACTGATGAAACCAAAGTGATGGGCTCCCATTACAATTGAACATTTAAATTATTTACCATTCTCGTTAGCGTTTCGTCCTAAGAGATGTTAGCTTCAGTTCTAGGTGTAATGATGTTTTTGTATTGTCTACTTAACATTTGCTGCAGGACACCAGTCCAGTGTTAAAACATTAGCAATATCCTTGTGGGTCTTTACATGACACTAACAGAGCACTGTCATCTGCATACAGTAGGAGTTTGCACTTGAACACTGATAGGCATTTCATAGTCATAACAATAAGAATAATAGGGACCAGAATACTACTTGGGGAACACCAATGTTATCGGCAGGGGTTCTGATTCTGTTTTGTTGATTTTGATAGTTGTTCTGTTGTAAGGTAGGACTTAACAAGTCTACAGCACTATACCAATGCTTGAAGTTTATTACATACGATATTGTGGTGACAGTATCGAAGGCTTTTGCAGTCTAAGGAATACCTGCCTATGATGTTCCCCTTTGACATTTCAGTTTCAGGTAAATCCATCAGATTCATAAGGGAGGGTCGGTTGAGGTCACGGATCTTCTAAAGCGATTGATGCCTATTGGAGAATGTTGTTGTCATTAAGGTACTTTAAAACTACTTGAGGAAGTTACACGCCTCTCTAGGAATTTTAGATATTATACTGAGTATACTAACAGGGCCTATAGTTGCTTACATCAGACCTACTATTTGTCTTGCAAGATAGGATGACTATGGCCTCCTTGAACCCTCCGGTCTGTACTTAGTGGTGATTGATAGATTTATTATGTGAGCAATAGGGATTGACAGTCAGAAGCACCATCTTTAGGAACTTAGACGGGATGTGATCAGGGCTGTGCTTTTGTTGGTTTAATGCTTCGATCTTTTTGAATAAAGTCAGAGCTAACTTACTTGTTGAACACGGTTTGGGGTTACCCTTATTGGTATAGTAGGTTTGAAAACTTATCAGGAGTAGTTGTTAAAGGTATTTGATGCAGCTGGTAGTTTAGTAGTTTACTTACTAGTGTTGAAATGCAAAGAAGTTTAGTAGGAATTAAAGCATTTGCCACCTTAGATGTTTTCGTGGCATTACCCTCATTATCGCTAGTGAGTCTATGTTAGGAATATCTACAGGCTATGGCTGTACCAACTGTTTAGCTTGTTGACAGAGCTTTGGGCGTTATGCTTATTATCTTCAATTTTGAGCTGTTAGTGCTTTGCCTTAGCTTTCCTTTTATAAGTCTCGTCTCTGTTCCTCACCTTTGGAATTCATTTAGTGCTGAAATCTGTCTGTTTGCTTTAAATCTTTTTAGCAGACTGGTCTCTGAATTTCATATTATTAATATCTCCAGTAGTCATCCAGGGTTCAGTTTTCGTTTAATTCCTATTCTTTAATGGTTGCAATATTATCAAGGATGGTAGTGAACTTTGTTTTGAATTTTTCCCAGCATCGTTTACGTCCGTGCTGCACTTGTTATCTCTGCTCCAGTCACAATTGTGTAGCCTATGTACTGTGTTTCTTTACTGTAGTTTCTAGTTGACCTCATTATTTTTGGCTGTGTTGGCTCCTATCTATCTAGTTATTTTCCAGGTGAGTAAATGATGAAAATGATCACTAAGACTGTGGTTAATGACGCCTGAGGACTAATGTTCTCAGGCGGTTACAATGTTATGTGGTACAATTAGGGTGGCGAGAATGTGTGATCGGTTTGGCAGTTTTAATTAGTTGAGTGTATCTATTAAATCCTAGAATTGGCTTATACCTTTTGCATAGCCCGTTATTTTGCTGTGAAAAGATATTAAAGTCGCCAGGTTTTATTGTCTGCATTGTTTTCAACTCCGACAAGACTTGGAAAAAGTCTTCTAGAACTGGTTGGGTAGGAGGGCGGTAACTAGTTATATAAGATGGGGTGGTTAGGAGAGTCACTTCAACCTAGAATCTTCCAGTTTATTGTTAATTTAAATAGGTTTGGGTTGTAACTGAGTCATTTCTTAATGTAGGCACATACTCCCCACCCCCTTTCTGTTCTATCTAAGCGTTTCTATTGTAACATCTATTTGACCGTCTTCAGTCACCGTATCATCAAACCAGATTCAGATGATGGTTATAACTGCCGCTATTATGTTAGCTCGAATCCTATCTCTGCCAATATAGGAAGAAGTGATCTTGGCATTGACATTGACTAAAGTGAAGGCCTGTTTTAATAAAACAATCATAATCATCAAATATATGGCAATGGTCTCTAGTATTAAAATTAGGTTAAATCAATGTAATCACTGCTAAAGAGGTAAATGTGCCAACGTGCTATTTGTTACACACCAAATGAATTCTGGCCACCTTTGGCTATAATTGTCCATACATCATCTTGCACCACCTTACACATTTTACTACGGTGCTTTTCTGTTTTTTCATGGTAACTTTAGGTACAGTGTATGGCACCTGTTTGTAGTGTTGAGATAATAATGGCTGTATTGTTCACATTGACCTTGTTATGCATTTATTCTGGAGTTAAGGTTATCATTCCTAGCTCTAGGACCGTCATTATTGCCGTATTTATCTGTCTGTTTGCCTATGCAAATAGTTTGAGGTTGATTAATTGGATATCACCCACTTTAGAGCGTACAATAAGAGCTGTGTGCCATGTTTTTGTTTAGGTATGCTGTGTTGCCTACCTTGCGGGCGTAAGTGTGGTTTATTTTCTGTTAGGATGGGCAATGTGGGGCTTTTAATGTCCAGGGCGCTGTTACGACATTCATCTTTTACAGCCCATGACTGATTTACTTTCTTCTGGAATGAAGAAGAAATATAAATATAATTATGGCAGCTCTGTACCCCATAATGCCGGCATTTTCACTCTTCGCTCTTTTCTCATA